GATTCCTTTGGGGGTCTCGTGCGCGGGGTTTAGGCGCGTATGGGGGAACATCTTAAAACGGGAGGATGACACACGGGGTAGGAACATATATCCGAAGTTTCAGGCCCCCAGCTTTCCTGGTTGCGAGTTGAAAGTGGGTGACAAAATGCACTCGCTTTGCGCACGCACACAGCCCAGCTTTCCTGGTTGTCGAGTTGAAAGTGGGTGACAAAATGCACTCGCTTTGCGAACACACATCCAGCTTTAATGGTTGCCGAGTTGAAAGTGGGTGACAAAATGCACTCGCATTGCGAACACACACACACACACACATCTTAAAACGGGAGGATTACACACGGGGTAGGAACATATATCCGAAGTTTCAGCCCCCCAGCTTTCCTATTGCTGAGATGAAAGTGGGTGACAAAATGCACTCGCTTTCCGAACACACACACAGACAGCCTCTTGACAGCGAGTTGAAAGTGGGTGACAAAATGCACTCGCACTGCGAACACACACACACACACACACACACACTGGGAAGGATGACACACGGGGTAGGAACATATATCCGAAGTTTCAGCCTCCCAGCTTTCCTGGTTGCCGAGCGAAAGTGGGCGACAAAATGCACTCGCTGTGCGAACACACACACACAGCCTCTCGACAATATGCGTTTTTGCTGGCTGTAGCAGCGCTATAGCCAGCAAAAACACATATTGTCGAGAGGCTGTCTGTGTGTGTGTTCGCAAGGCGAGTGCATTTTGTCACAGCGCTGCACAGCAAAAACGCATAAAAAAACGAAAGACATTAGAAATACCGTTATTTTAGTAAGGTGAAGAAATCTCAGTTACAGCAAATATGAAAAGGAATAGTATACTATGAAATTGATACTTAAGAAGTCTTTGCGGTATTCCCATCAGCTGATATGAAAATACAGCCAGACTGTGAATTTATCTCATCAAAAAAACTTAGTAATTCAATCGAAATGCATTTATATTCGTAAATTTTTAGACATTCGATGACTGCATTAGACGAAAAGGAAAGGACTGTGACATGAAGCAGATGTGGCTGCAAATTCCATATTTTTGTGGCACTCATTATTTCTGCAGGTTGTTTAAAAGTCATAACAGGGGAGAGGGGCGAGTCATTTTTGAACATTTAGGTTTTTTTTATTTTTATCTAGACTGCTGTCAAAGCTGAATGGATGCGTACTTGGGTCCCGAAATTCCCGACTTCTTCGTTTTCTTAAATCGAAGGATTATTTGCAGTGAAGTGGGTAATAAGCGTGCGTTGGAGCAGGCGAAGTGGAACTTAGTAAATCATTACTTAGTGGTTGGATTAAGCGAACAGATGCGAGATTTCATTGAATTACTTGAAGTTTTATTGCCATCATTCTTTCGCGGAGCTCTACAACATTTTGACTCACTCGATGGTAAGGTATTCTGAAAATTATGTAGCAAAAAAAATCATTCCCTCTACAGTTCGTGTGACTTTAAACTGATATTGATAATATGTAACGAAGGATCATTTCGCCCTCGGCATACCGTCAAGCAGTTCATGAAAGAGGGATTTGTCAGCGAACGATTTCTATAAGCATAGCACTTTTGCTGCTGTAACTTCGGAGTGCTTACATCTTTCAAAGAAGTGAAATACGGATGGATTTTGTCCCGGACTTCATAATTCAGGTGGCTAATTCTAGCTTGCAGCTATCCACAGATCCGAACTGCCCTAAAACTGTGTTGACCTGAAACTTTACGACCGCTCATTCTGTTTGTTACAGAAAAACATGCAAATTTGCGGCACACAAATCACAAAGCACCTCCCAGTAAAGCAACAGTGGAGGCAGTTCGCGATGATCCGATATACATGATGGAGCGGGAATTCTATGATTTCGCGCAGGAGCATTTCAATGAAATATTTCGGCGTTCAAAGGATGACACAAACGGACAGATACTTCCTCAACAGTTCCACTATGAAAAGATCAAACCTCTGTAGTGGTCTGTTGCCTCACGGCGAACTGAGGAAACAATGTCGAGGAAGTATTGTCGGGCTTTCCAAGTGTCAGCCCGAAAATACTTCCTCGACATCGTTCCTTCAGTTCGCTATGAGGCTTGTGAGTTTTTGTGAAGCAGAAAAAAACTTTCACAGTGACTAAAACCGTCACGAAGACATTCATGAATAGCAGAGAAAGCCGTACAAATATCGGATAACACTGTAGTTGTGCTAACATTGCGCTGCTCGACGTTAGTGAATTGTTGTGAATACCTTCATCGTATTGTCAATATCATTATTATCACTTATTATTGTTATTCTGAAGGTGCATCTCAGTAACATTACTAACATTGGATGCTACTACCAGTTGTCTGAGCGGCATATTTTTATGCGTTTTGTGCTGTGCAACATCTATACAAATATTGTTACGAGGTTGTCTATGTATGTGTTCGATGCGTCGTGTTCGCAGCTTTCAACTCGGGAACCACGGAAGCAAGGAAGCTGAAAATTTAGGGCAATGTTTCTCGCCCACATTTGACCTCTCGAATTTAAATTCAGCCTTTCCGTGCGCGCGGGTAACACATACAGCGCCTTGGAACTTTTGGCGGAGAAAATTATTATCTGGGAGACCGGCGAAGTTAGGAAACTAAATTTTATTGGCATGTCTCCTCCTGCCCACGTGCGGCGTCCAGACTAAAATTCAGCGTTTCCGCAGTGTCGGACATCAACTACGGTCCCATAAAAATTCTGGCGGTGAAATTATTATCTCAGGAAATATACAAATCAGGAAGCTAAAATTTACCGTCCCCTGCCCACATACAATTCTGCAAATTTAAATTCAGCATTCCGATGCTCCCGGGCATCAGGACAACTTTGCAAAATCAAATTCAGCTTTCACGTACGCTTGAGTCTCGACGTACCTATGAAACTTTTGGCGGAAA